CATCTTCGCCGAACAAGGATCACCAGCAACGCTTGAAAGTATCATTGACAAAGTGAAAGCCGTGAATCAAACATGTCGCAAGTGACCACGCAAACCGCCACATGCTGATCGTAATTGAAAGCGGTGATGATGTCACGAGCAAGCCGTTGATCAAGCATACATTCAATACACATGGGAATCCAACTGGGAGATCGAATGTTGTTGGTACGGTGGGTTCATGCGGCGATGGCGCGCCGGCGACGCCAGCGAAGGCGTTCAAGGTTGAATCGCGGAAGCACCGAGGGACACGGTGACGCCACTGGCTCGACGGAATTCAACCTTGAACGATCGGGGCCGCGATCGATTCAAGGTTGAACGATCGACGCGGTGTCGAAAACCTCTGCGCGTGCCGACGCCGCACGAACCTACCGGTACCACCTGGGCGTACTCGTGATCTCGAGTCCCGCCCGCTCAGCCCTTGCACAGGCGCCGAGTCAGCCCCGTGCAGACCGCGCGAGCCAGGCTCGGGGACACGCCACGGATGTCGCAGCGAACGCACGTGCAACTCCTCCTCCTCCTCCTCCTCCTCCTCCTCCTCCTCCTCCTCCTCCTCCTCCTCCTCCTCCTCCTCCTCCCCTCCTCCTCCCCCTCCCCCTCCTCCTCCTCCTCCTCCCTCCTCCCTCCTCCTCCTCCTCCCCCTCCTCCTCCTCCTCCTCCTCCTCCACCTCCTCCTCCTCCTCCTCCTCCTCCTCCTCCTCCTCCTCCTCCTCCTCCTCCTCCTCCTCCTCCTCCCCCTCCTCGCTTTCCCTTCTACGGCGGCCCCGGTGGAAACCGTCCCGCAACGATGCTCACGAACGCGCTGAGTCGACGTGCGCGCCTTGCACGAAAGATCAAGCACTGAACGTACACCAGCGAACGAAAGCGCCGAGTGCCGCCGCACAAAGGACCGAAACCGCGCCAAAACATCGGCGCCGCAGATCGCAAGCAGCAGGGCCGATGATGACGCAATGAGCAGGCTTCACCGGGGGCGCGCCATTGATAGCGCTGGTCAAAATAGATTGCGAAGCGAAGCGGAAACAAAACAACACCCAAAAAATTGTTCGGGCCAGCACGGATGACATGTTCGATTTCGATGGACCCAGACGTCCTTGAGAGATCTCCCCCTGTTTCACGGCGCCCTTACTTATTGCAATACGTCCGCTACCCCCCCACCCCCCCCTGGCCACACACATGCCTCGGGCCATGAGCTGCGAACCCCCCTCTTGGACGCCCCCCTCATAACATGTTGGACGCCCCCGAGGAAGGCCCGGGGCCCAGGACCCGTCCTTTCATGCCAAGATCGGGGGCGGCCAAGGGGGGGGGGTGAGGACCAGGGGTGTGTGCGTATCATGATTCAGTTCACGATGCATTTCGAAACGGAACAGCCAGAGCGTTTGTTTGCACCCGCTGTGTAGGATCGTTGTGCCCGCGCAGTCGGCAGGCACATTTCACCAGCGGCGCAATGCGACCCGTCCTTTCGTGCCGAGAGGTCATGATAGACGCCATGACGACCATCCAGCACTTCTGGCGGAAGGCGGGGCACGAGAAGGGCCACCTGCGGCACCAGAGCGACATCTTCACCCTCTGGCCGGCCAAGGTCGTGCAGGCGGCGGCCGCGCTCCGCCCGCGCTACGCCGACCGCGACAGGAGGCCTCCCTCCCCGTGGGAGCCGATCATGGTGGTGTACGACTACCCGAACCCGCGCCGGAACTGGATGGTCAGCCCGAGGACCGTCTCCAGCAGTGGCGAAGCGTCCTGGCTCGCCTATAGCCCCACTAAAAAGAATGTTCTGAGAACCTGTTGTGGTCTGCACGAAGTGCTCCTAGAACATTTCTGGCTGGGGCTGTCCTGTTTTGCACATCGGGCTCATGTTCCAAGAGCATCGTTTTCGTTCTCAGAACATGTTTGGGTTCTAAGAACATGTCGTGGTAGGCCTACAGGACTGCCGGGACGGTCGGCCCCTGCGCGGGAGGATCGACCTTTGGAAGCACATGAGCCAGCAGGGGCCTCGGGTGCTGCAGAAGGGGCTGTCGATCGCCTTCGCCGACACCTACACGGAGAACCTGGACGAGCTCACCAAGGGCAGGTGCCCAGAGGAGGAAAGGGTACCGTCGGGCGGGGGTGGGACGAGGACGCGTCCGTCCCAGAGCGTCCTGGAGCGCCGGGGGAAGGCCGCGGCGCCCGAGGCATCCTGCAGGGCCGCGGGACCCCAGAGATTCTCAAGGTATCCAGGCCTCTTTGACGGGGTCCGAGTAGAAGGGGTCGGAGGATCGCGCCGCATCGCCGATGCATCGACGATGCGGCTCGATGTGGAGCCCGATGTTCCCCACGCTCACGTCGCGGATACAGCGCCGACGTCGGCGATGCGGCGCGATCCTCCGACCGCATCTACCCGGACCTCATCAAGGGCCCCTAATTCATCTTCGTCCAAACCCAGACCCCCGACTTAATGATTTTTTCATTACGTCGACCCCCAGGGGTCTGGACCCTTTCCCCATGACCGGCTTTGCATCCTGAGTCGTTTTTTGACGCTCCCGAGGCCCGGTGAGGGCCCCCGGAGGCCAAAAATTCGGAAAAACATCCCGTCATGATTTTTTCGTTACTCGAGGGGGTCTGGGAATGTATCCTCGTCCTGGCTTCGTCTTATGCCGATACCGCTACCGCTACCCTTCTCGTGCTTGCTGCTCTTGGGGAGCCTCCTGGGCTCCCGGGGTGCTCCCGGTGCCGCGGCCGGGCTCGCTCCGAGAGCGTGGTCAGAACGCAGCGCAGGAGAGGCCCGGGGAGCCTCCTCCTCCTCCCTCTTCCTCCTTCTCCGCCTCCTCCCCCTCCTCCTCCTCCTCCTCCTCCTCCTCCGCCTCCTCCTCCTCCTCCTCCTCCTCCTCCTCCTCCTCCCTCTCCCTCCTTCTCCTCCTCCCTCTTCCTCCTTCTCCTCCATTCCTGCGTCCCTGTCGCACACCGTTTTTTATTTGCACGAGTTTCGCGGATTGAGGGCGGGTCGTTTTCAAATTGTGGTTCCCGCCCCAGCGCCTCGCACATTCGTTAAACAAATTGCAAGAGATTCACGCATTGAAGGCGGTTTCTTTTCAAACTGTGGTTCTCGCCTGAGCGCCGCGCACATATGTTTTTTAATGTTACAAGAGTTTCGCGGATTGAGGGCGGATTGTTTTCAAAGTGTTTCTCTCGCCTTAGCGCCGCGCACATTCGTTTTAAACATTTGCAAGAGTTTCACGGATTGAAGGCGGTTCCTTTTCAAAATGTGGCTCTCGCGTCAGCGCCGCGCACATTCGTTTCGAAAAATTACAAGATTACACAATACAAACCCCAATCAGTGGATGATTTGAAAATTGATATTATGGATCTTGAGATCGACTGTGAGATCGATAATGAGATCGATAGAGGAATCGATAGTCAGGACGATTGTAAGGTCGATCGTGAGACCGAGAGTGAAATCGATTCAATGAGATCGATAGTGAGATCGATCGAGAGATCGCTCATGCGATCTCTAGTGAGATCGCTTGTGAGATTGATAGTGAGATCGATTGTGAGATCGATGGTGAGATCGATCGAGAAGTCGGTAATGAGATCGATGGTGAGACCGATCGATAAGAAAGTCGACCAGGAACCTGGGAACCCGGGAACCTCGCCGCCCTCCGAAATCGGCCCAGAACCTGGAACAGGTTTTCGCTAAATTCTTCAACATCCGCGCGGACCCCTTCAGTGCAAGCACTGATTGGGGAATTTTCACGGGTTCCCATGATCAACGTACCAGAAATAGTGTTTTGGAACGATTCAGGATTTTGCGGGTGCGACAATTATGTTGATTCGCGGTGTCGAAGTCCCAAGAATGGTTTTCTGGTACGATTCTGGATCGTCAAGACGCAGCAATCAGGTTGATACGTGGCGTTAAAATCCTTAGAGCAATGTTTTGGCATGCTTCAGGATCTTCAAACCGTTACCTCCCAACGAGGCAGTTCCCTCAATGGAAATGAACCGTTGCAGGGGCATATGAAGAGGGAGCTTGGAGGGAGGGTTAATTCCGACATCGTTAATGACTCTTGGGTTGTGCATTAGTCCTCGTTCTCCTCCTCCTCCTCCTCCTTCTCTTCCTCCTCCTCCTCCTCTTCTTTCTCCCTCCTCCTCCTTCTCCGTTCTTTCTCCATATAGATAGTCCCTCCCTGTCGCACCCCGAGGCCAGTTGTTGGGGCGGGCCCAGCGTTTCACCTGAGACTCCCTCACCTTTGTATGATTATGTAACAACAGCTTCACGGATCGAGGGCGGGTCGTTTTCAAAATGTGGCTCTCGCCTTAGCGCCGCGCACATTCGTTTTAAAAAGTTGCAAGAGATTCACGGATTGAGGGCGGTTCCTCTTCAAAATGTGGCTCTCGCCTCAACGCCACGTACATGTTTTAACATAATTTGCAAGAGTTTCACGGATTCTCATGGTCAGCGTATCAGAAATGGTGCCTTGGACGGATTCAGGATTATGCGGGCGCAACAGTTATGTTGATTCGCTGTGTTGAACTTCCAAAAGTGACGTTCTGGCACGATTCCGGATCGTCGATCCGCAGCAGTCAGGTTGATACGTGGCGTCGAAATCCAGAGAACAATGCTTTGGCACGCTTCAGGATCTTCGAGTTGTTGTCTTCCAGCGAGGCAGTTCCCTCAATGGAAATGAACCGTTGCAGGGGCCTATGAAGAGGGAGCTTGGAGGGAGGGTTAATTCCAACATTGTTGATGACTCTTGGGTTTCCACTGGTCCTCCTCCTCCTCCTCCTCCTACTCTTCTCCTCCTCCTCCCTCCTCCTCCTTCCAGTATTGGCACCTTCGGGGCTTCAGCGACGGGGCTCAATGCAAACGGGGGTCAGTCAGAGCGCCGGATCTTGCAGGATCCTGCAGAGCCAGGGGTGCACTGACCCAGGTTTGGGTGCAGGAAGCTGCAGGATCTTGCAGGATCCTGCAACGCAGGACTGGCCCGGGTTTGGATTGACCCAGGTCAGTTGATCCCCAATACTTGTTAGTTTCCCCAGGTGCGACCAGGCATCGAGCAAGAAAAACTTGCGCAAGCATAAATGTTCGACGGCTCGCGCAGATTTCTCGGATCTGTGCTAGGCCCCGCTAGCGGCGCCTCCAGCGCCGCCCCTGGCCCGCTCCGCGCGCTAATGAGGGGCTTCCAGCGCGGATCCAAGAACTCCACGCGGACCTCCCAAAGCCCGAATGCTTGCCGGTCTTGTTCCTCTCAGGAGATCATGTATATGATCGAGTTGCTCACACGCGAGTTCCCCCGCAGGCAGGTGCTCGTCACGGGGGACCCGAAACTGCAAAGGCTCGCGCGCAGCCACTGCCTCGTGCGGAGCCCCAAGTGGCTGGAGCAAGAGCTGCTTCGCACAGGCGAGCCTGGCAAGAGGGCGCTGAAGGCGTTTGAGCCGGGTGACGACTCGACGTACGACGAGGTCATGAGGTTGCCGAATTTGCTCCAAGACTTGTGGCTGGTGGGCATGTGATCTGAACGGCCGGTGGGCATCTGATCGGCATGGGTGGGACCACCCAGACTCCGGCTCCGCCGTATTCTCTGGGCGATTTCGCACGGAGGGCGTGGATTTCAGCCCTAATTCGCAAGCTCCTCTGACGTCGATTTACGCCCTATTCTGCCGTCGCTGTTTTCGCTATATCCGCCTCATTTTTCTTACCAGCCTCGATCGTATCCCTATCCCTAAGATCGACACGCCAAAAGGCGATGACAATCTTAGGGATTCGCCCTCAAAAACGAAGGGAATCCCTAAGATCGGCATCGTGATGAGGAGGTGCCCAGCATAGGGACAGGGATATGTTCCAGGCTGGCCATTTTCTGAGCGGACATTCCGCCCTACTTTTGTCGCATCGTTCCAGACACAGTCGTAGGTTGGAAGTCCGCCGAAGCACAGCGGCCCCGAGGTCGGGGAAGGAGGAGGAGGAGGAGGAGGCGGAGGCGGAGGCGGAGGCGGAGGAGGAGGAGGAGGAGGAGGAGGAGGAGGAGGAGGAGAAGAAGAAGAAGAAGAAGCAGCAGCAGAAGAAGAAGAAGAAGAAGAAGAATAAGGATGCCCAGAGGTCGGGGAAGCGGGCCACGGCCGATGGACGCAGGTCCCGATGATCTTCTCTTCGTCGTCGGATCCCCAGCCAGCCGCCCGAGAACCGACCCGCAAGTGGTCCAGGAGGAGAAAAACCACACGCAGGCACAATTCATCGTCGATCCCCCAGAAAGCATGGGAACATATGGGCAGTGGGGGGGGAAGACAGAAACCCAGAAAAATATGGTAAACTATGGGGAATCCTTTTTATTTGTGTGTATTTATTTGTGTGTGTCCCCGGGCCCCTTCAGTTGTCCAGGATGGAAGGAAGAGTGGTCCTGTGGCAGGTGCCTGGGGCTCATAGTTGTCCGTTTCCCACGGTGCCCTATTCTCTGTCGTGGTAATCATTCTTAGCCCTGGCTCCTCCACCGGAGCACAAGGGAGGGTTGGATGCATCTAGGCCTCCCAGATGGGGTCCGAGTAGATGGGGTCGGAGGATCGCGTCGCATCGCCGATGCATTGCCGATGCGGCTCGATGTGGGGTCCAATGTTTTTTCTGCCGACATCGCGTCGCCAATGCATCGGCGATGTATATTCGACCTCATCTACTCGGACCCGACCTAGGAGGCCTCTAACGTGGCGCGCGCCAGAGTCTCTCGTTCCGATACCGTGCCGCGTCTGGTACCGTGATCGTTCTCGACCGCCGCCGCCGGAAAAAATAACAACTGTGAGCTATCCTCCTCCTCCTCCAGCTCCTCCTCCTCCTCCTCCTCCTCCGTGGAAGGTCTGACTCGAGTCTGTGATCGATCAGGTATTTGGATGTCGAGAATGTTGATCCCTTGAGCTCAGCCTCGTGTGTGTAGGGGTATAGCACTCACCACATAGTCTGCACCACATACACATCCTCGGATGCAAATCCTGGGAGATCAAATTCGAACTTTGCCCTGGTCCGAAGTCCGGCTGATTCCCGCTTAATCCCGATTAATCCGGCTTAATCCAGCTTGATCCGCGGCCTAATCCATCTCAGTAGCCCCCCAATGAGGCTCAATCCTCTCCAATCCTTCTGACGAAGATCTCTGAGTAGCTACCTCCCAACATATCTTGCACTGCACCGCCTCACACCACATATATTACATTATGTATAGGTTCGTGTATAGATAATTCGAAAACTGGAACGTATACATTACCAGTGGCAGGCTGTTTTTCAATCCCTTGTTTTCTTGAGGGTCGAGGACGACGCTGGGGTGTTGTGGTGTATACTTGTTTCCCCGATGTCCCGGGGAAACAACGAAAAATGTATACACCAGGGTCCCGTATACACCAGGATCCATTCTCCAGTGCAAATTCTGATGCAGGGCCGGAAGAAGCGTCGGTGCGTAGAGTTCTATTCCCCAGTAAACGGGGTATTCGGGCACCCCCGCACCCCCGACAAGTCGCAGGGAGGCCCGCGAGCGGGCTGCAAGGGGAGCTTCGAGGAAGTCGCCAAGCGAGTACAGTGATCACAGATTCTTGGCACGGGGCTCCCGTGGTCCACCCTCTTGGCCAGCGTTTGAAGGCTACGCTCTACATTTCCAGTCCCCCACCGCGTCTCGTTCCTCATCCTGCTCCCCCCGTTTCGCCTCCTTCTCTTCTGGGCGGTTATGCATCGACTCCCTTGTGAGGAGGATCCCTTGCGGAGAAGGAGGACGACGAAGGACGGAGGACGGATGAGGAGAATGAGGAGGAGGAGGAGGAGGAGGAGAAGGAGTGAGGAGGAAGAGGAGAAGGAGGAGTAGGAGGACAGGAAGCAAAGGAACGGGGAGTGAGAGGAGGAGGAGGAGGAGGACAGGACAGGACAGGACAGGACAGGACAGGACAGGACAGGACAGGACATCCGCATACGGGGGTCTACGTCAACACCTACTAAGGAGCTGTGCGTGCGACTTGCGAAATCCCCTGCGATGCCGCGCACCTCATGCTTCTCCTGGGCGGGCAGCGGGCATACCCTGAAGCTCAAGGGGGCGAGCTCCGAGCTGGCCCCGAAAGAGAGGCTCGCTGATTAAGACGAGTCCCTCGGGCCAGTGCGCGGGGAATAGCTGCTGGCCTGTTCGCGTACCCTCTCTGGGGGACGCGCTGGCGAACAGGGTTGCCAAGTAGGGGGTTCCCTGAACCCTTCTTTCAATTGTGAGCCAGAGCGCCTGTGCTCCGAGAAGCCCGCCCCCCCTCCCCCCCCTCCACCAACACAGGAGCCCCAGCACTCCGAGATGCCCTCGCTCGTGTTCTCTGCTCCCACTACGCCGGGACAGATGCTTCCCGCGCCAAACGCGTTCAGGTTTCGCTTCCCGCGCCAAACGCGTTCAGAAATGCTCAACCTCTCCTCTTTCCGTCCTCGTCTGCAAGGTCACACTTATTCACCAGAAAACATTGGGAAACATGCGGCACAAGCAGAAAATGGACCGAGGACGAGAGACAGGGAGACAACGCAGGGGAGATAATGCAGGAGGACCCTGCACGCCAAGCACTAGTGATGATGTTGATGATGATGCTGATGATGATGAGGAGGAGGAGGACGAGGAGGAGGAGGATGGCGCTGGAAAGCTCTCAAACACAAGGAACAAAAACCCAGACGAACAAATTATCGGCGGCACAAGCTTGCTTGGAAACCTTTGAGAAACAAAACAGGCAAAACCATGACAACTGAAGATCTCAAGTACGACTCGACCGTCCGAAGGGCGACCCCGCATTATCTGTTGAAGTTTTCGGATCGTCCCTGAGATACTTTGTGTGTATGTTCGTTGGTTTTGTTGTATGTGCTGTTGTTCTCAAGGCTTAATCAAAGTTTCTGCCGCCAGGGCTTTGGTGTCTTTGTTTATGTGCGCTCCTCGTATGTTGGAGGCTTTGCAGCGCCACCATCCACCTCTCAGGGATTCTCGATCTGTCCCCCCCCCGACGTGATCCTCGCTCAGGCCTCAGACCCCCGACGTCATGCCTTTGTCATGACGTCGATCACCAGAGGTCTCGACCCGTTCCCCGGGACTGGCTTTTCCTCCCGAGTCGTTCTCCGACGGTCCTGCGGGGGCCGGCAAGGGCCGCCGGAGGCCGACCAAACATCAAACGCCTTTTTTCCCGTCGTGATTCTTTGAACCTCCTCCTCCTCCTCCTCCTCCTCCTCCTCCTCCTACCCCTCCTCCTCCTCCTCCTCCTCCTCCTCCTACCCCTCCTCCTCCTCCTCCTCCTCCCCCTCCTCCTCCTCCTCCTCCTCCTCCTCCGGCGCGACGATGTCTGGCTTCGCCTCGGCCCATGCAGCGGCCGGTCTCTGGGGCCCCTTGCGGGCCGCCCATGGGGCGCGGAGGTGCTCGCGCGCGGCCGTTCCGCGCATCCCCCACGCCCGGGCCGGAGAGCCGCGCTCGTCTGGGGCGGCGGCGCGAGGCGCGAGGCGGCGCGCTGCGCGAGGCGGCGAGCGCGCGTCGCGCACCGCGCGACGCGCGGTGCGCGACGCCCGGTGACTCAAGCGGCGCCGTTCGATGCAACTGCCCCGTCCGTGGGGCGCGCCAGGTGGCCCAGAGGAGCCCCGCGGGCCCAGGAGTTTCGAAGGGAGGCCAGGGGCGAGGTGCGAGCGACGCGTCTGCGGTCCCGACGCCGCTTGGCTCGAGCGGCGCCGTTCGACTCGAGTGCCTCATCCGTGAGGCACCGTCCAACCAGGTGGCCCAGAGGAGCCCCGCGGGCCCAGGAAGCATCTGGCCCGGTCTCGGAGCCATCTTGAGCTGGACGGGGGGGGCTCAGGCATGATCGCGTCATTAAGACATCAAGACGAAGGCTTTGCGCTGGTTTCGGGGAGGAGGAGGAGGAGGAGGAGGAGGAGGAGGAGGAGGAGGAGGAGGAGGCCCTCGCCGGGTCCAGGGACCGTCAGAAAACGACTGGGGAGGCAAAACCGGTCTCGAGGAAGGGGTCGGGACTTCCGGGGACCGCGTAGTGAACAAATCAGGGCGTCGCATGTCTGAGAGTTCGACTAGATGTAGGAGTGACCTTTCGCCGGAGTGACCTCTGGTGCGGGCCCACTGGGGCCCTCCGATCGCCGAGCGCGATGCGACAGTAGCGGCTTGCGCGCTTGGGTATGGCCACCCCGCGTCCCCCATTAAGCCGCGCACCAAAGTTCATTCTTGCCCAGGGTCGCTCTTGCGTGCAGCCGAGGAGCATGTCGCACGCGTTCGAACGCCACTGGCACAGCGTTGACGTCTCGGGGGCGCTCCTTCGGAGCATCGTTGTGGGCCTCCCGAGGGGCCCTCGACGAGGCCTCCTGGGGGGGTCGTCGTAGATTGCCTCGGAAGGCAGGGTTGGGAGCGAGGCCGGTCGGGGGAGGCCAGGGACGTGTTTCGAGCGCAGTCCAGCGGGGGAGAGTGGCGGGGGCACGCACGGCTGCAGGGTCGAAGGCATCACCCTTGTGGGATTTCGCCTGCGGGTCTGATGATGCTGCCAAGTGTTGCGCGGCGCACGCTGGTACTTTCAGCACTCGCCTCGTGTGAGAGAGGAGGAGGAGGAGGAGGAGGAGGAGGAGGAGGAGGAGGAGGAGGAGGAAGATGGGGAGGGGGCGGGGGAGGAGGAGCAGGAGGAGGAGGAGGAGGAGGAGACGCCGCAGTTGAGTGGCAGTCCTCCTTCATCTTCCTGCCGCTCGCCGTCCCCTGCCTCCTGCTCCCCGTCCTGCTTCTCCTCCTGCTCCTCCTCCTCCTCCTCCTCCTCCTCCATGTCCTCCTCCTTCTACTCCTCCATGTCCTCCTCCTCCTCCTCCTCCTCCTCCATGTCCTCCTCCATGTCCTCTTCCTCCTCCTCGCCCTTGCGTCCACAACCCTGTTGGCATGGGCGCTTCTCCTCCTTGTCGCACTCCGAGGCCGGTCAAAAGGGCGGGCCGGTCGTTTCGTCAGTGACTTCCTCACCATTTTTGACTCTCAAGCTCAAACATGTCAACAGTTTCACATATGGAGGGCGGGTGGTTTTCAACATGTGGCTCTCGCCTTAGCGCCGCGCACATTCATTAAGCTACAAGAGCTTCACGGATTGAGGGCGTGTCGTTTTCAACATGCGGCTCTCGCCTCAGCGCCGCATACATTATTCTAAACATGTGTATCACGTTCACGGATTGAGGGCGGGTCGTTTTCAAAATGCGGTTCTCGTCTTAGCGCCGCGCACATCGTCTTGAACATTTGCCAGATGTGCACGCATTGAGGGCGGTTCGTTTTCAAAATGTGACTATCCTTGTATAACGCCGCTCACATCCGTCTTAAACGTTTGCAACTGTTTCGCGGATTGAGGGGGGTCCCTTTCAACATGTGGCTCTCGCCCCAGCGCCGCGCACATTGTTTCAATGTTAGCACAAGTGTCGCGAATTCTCATGGTGAGCGTACCAGAGCTGGTGTGTTGGACCGATTCATGATTGCCAGGGCGCAATCGTTACGTTGACTCCCTGTGTTGAAGTCACAGGAGTGGTGCTCTGACACGGTTCAGGATCGCCACGACTTCACAATCACGTCGTGGCGTTCAAGTCTTGAGGATGGTGTTGGGGCACGTTTCAGGATTTTTGCACGGTTGTCCCCCAACGGGGCAGTTCCTTCAGTGGAACTGAACCCTTGTAGGGGCCTATGAAGGGGGAGCTTGGAGGAAGGTGTATTCCAACGTTGCTGATGAGTCTTCGGTTTGCACTGGTCCTCCTCCTCCTCCTCCTCCTCCTCCTCCTTGTCCTCCTCCTCCTCCTCCTCCTCCTCCTCCTCCTCTTCCTCGCGGGCCCAGTGAATCCTGGGGCGTACGACGTGGTGGGCAGAGGGGAGGAGGGATGCGATCGTGACGACCTTCAAACACGCGGGAGGGGGGGGGCGTGATGCCCCCTGGCCCGGAAGAGGGGGGCCTCCTCCCGCCTCTTGACATTGCACGGGCAGGGCCGCCGCTCACATCTAGCCCGCGATGGGGGAGCAGGAGTAGGAGCAGGACGAGGAGGAGGAGGAGGAGGAGGAGGAGGGACTGGGCTAACCGCATTGTGCCTTGGAGGCCCCTCCTCCGACCTCCTCCCTCCCTCAGTTCTCATCCTTCTCCTCGCTCCTGCTCCTCCTCGCTCTTCCTCCTCCTCCTCCTCCTCCTCTTCCTCCCGCTCCTCCTCCTCCTCCTCCTCCTCCTCCTCCTCCTCCTCTTCCTCATCCTCCTTGCCTCTCTTCATCCTCATCCTCCTATGTGTCACCCTTTCATGCCCCCTTTGCTCCACGTCCTTCCTCCTCCTCCTCCTCATCCTCCTTCATCCTTCTCATCCCCCTCTCCGCTCGCTGGGACTCCAGAGGGACAGGGTCTTCGGGCCGCTTCCACAGGTCTACAGACTGGGCGATGGCAAGAGCACCACGCTCAAGGTGGACGAGAAGGCCGTCCTGCGCATGGTCTGCGAGCCGGCGGACTTGTCCAACGCGGAGATTTCAACACAGGCCAGTGAAGGAGGAGGTGTATGGGGGAAGGAGAGGAGGGGGAGAAAGAGGCGGTGGAGGTGGAGGTGGAGGTTGGGTGGGTAAGAGGAGGAGGAGGTGGAGGAGGAGGAGCAGGAGGAGGAGGAGGAGCTGGAGCAGGAAGCGCCGAGTGAGGAGGGCGATGCGGATGCTTGGGAGGATGAGGGACTCGTCGGTGAGGTGGAGTAGGACACGGGTAATGACGAATGAGAGCGGTGGGCGGTGGCAGCGGAGGAGGACAGGGAGGGGGAGGAGGGGGAGGCAGGAAGAGCAGGCCTGAGGAGAAGAGCGGGTGAGGAGGAGGGGGCGATGGTGGGCAGCTCTGGAAGCGTACTTCGTGGAGCGTCGGGGGGCCGCGCGGTGCCGCTGCAGCCGCTTCGGCGAGGGGGCCGCCACGCGCTGCCGCTCGCGCAGGCCTGCAGGCGCGGCGCGGCCCGCGGCAGAGCCCCGCTCGCGCTCCCGCTCCGCTCCCACGGGCCTCCGGCCCGGCCCGCTGGCGACCCGCAGAGAGATCGGCCCGGGATGTCCCCTGCCATGACTCCAGATCCGCCCTACTTTTGGCTTTTTTCCAACGTAGAATTGCGTCGTAAAATTGCGTCGGAAATTCCAAGCCCTGGGCCGACTGGTGCTACTCCCGCCCGTCAACTCTCTTCCTGGGCAAACAGACAGTCCGCTCCGAGTGCGGGGTGCAGCAGGGCGACCCCCTGGGGCCCCTACTGTTCTCCCTAGCACTACAGCGTGCCGCCGAGGCCGCCCTTCGCGCGCCGCGCCACGGCGCCGACGGCGCCGTCGACCTGAGTTTCTTCTACTTGGACGACGGCTGCCTCGCGGGCGACGCGCCGGCCGTCGCGCGCCTCCTCCACTTGCTCGTGGCCAGCCTTGCCGCGGTGGGCCTCCAGCTGAGCACCAGCCCGGGCAAGTGTGAGGTGGTCCCCACTAGCGGAGACGCTTCCGACGTGTCTCTGGACGGCTTCCCGCCGGGCTTCCGCCTCCGCACCGATCGCAGCTTCGAGCTGCTTGGCGCGCCAGTGGGAGACGCGGACTTCTGCGCGGAGCACACCAAGCAGCGGGTCGCGAGCGCCACCGACTTGCTGGAAGCTCTGGGGGAGCTCGAAAACGCGCAGGTCGCGCTGCACCTCCTGCGCCAGTGCGCCTCCTTCTGCAAGCTGGGCTACTCCGCGCGCGTGGTGCCGCCCACCGCGCACGCCGCCTCCCTGCTGGCCATGGACGACGCTGTCCGGGCCTGCCTTGAGCAACTGAGCGGCTGCTCGCCCTCCGACGCTTCTTGGCAGCAGGCTCAGCTAAAGCTCAGGAAGGGAGGACTTGGCCTGCGCTCTGCCGCGAAGCACGCCGCCGCCACCTACATTGCTTCCAGAGCGAAGAGCACCTACCTCTGTCGGCAGCTCTACCCCGGCTACTCCAACAACCCCGACCGCGACGGAGGTAGCCTGGCGGCTGCGGTGCAGGCCCACAACGCAGTCGTGCGGGACGCCGACCGGGTGGTGTTCGACCACGCGCAGCACGGCAACCAGAAGGCCCTCTCCGACGCGGTGGACAGCGCCTCGCTCGACGGACTTCTGGCGGGCTCCACCCTGGCCGGCAAGGCGCACCTCTCTCTGGTGCAAGCCCCAGGCGCGGCCGCGTGGCTCCAGGCGCCGCCCTGCGAGGCCACCGGCACCGCCTTCCCGCACGGCCTCGTGCAGGTCGGCCTGCAGAGGCGGCTGCGAGTCCAGCTTTTGCAGGAGGAGTGCTTCTGCCCAGCCTGTGGCGAGGTGATGGACGTTTTCTGCGACCACGCCCTGGTCTGCGCCTGCCGCGGCGACCGGACCAAACGCCACAACGCCCTGCGCAACCAGGCCTTCTTCGACGCCCTGGCCGCCGGCCACGCCGGGGCGGAGTTGGAGCGCCCGGGGCTGCTACCCGCGCGCCCCGCCGGGGAGGCCACCCCCAGGGGCGAGCAGGGCGGGTCCCAGGTGGACGACAACGGCCGCCGCCCTGCCGACGTCTACCTGCCGCGGTGGCGCAATGGCACGGCGGCCGCCTGGGACTTTGCCGCCACGTCAGGGTTGCGCGCCGATCTCCTCGCCGCGTCGGCCGCTTCGTCCAGCGCAGCGACGTACCGGCTTCACTTTCCTCCCCATGGTGGTGGAAGCCCACGGCGGCGGGTGGGGCCGCGAGGCACGCAGGGCCTTCGGGGCCCTGGCCAAGCGGGTGGCTGACGCCACGGGGGAAGACGCCGCACTGGTTGCGGACCAACATGCCCAGCGACTTTCCGTTTCCCTGCGCAGGGAGAACGCGCGGGCGGTGTTGCGGCGCCTTCAGACCCTGTCTGGAGGGGCGGGGGTGGCAGCGGCCCGCCTGGCCGCGGCCACGGCGGCCTCCACGGCGTCTGCCGTGTGAGGTGCCCCCTGCGCTGCCTAGCGCCCCCCGCCCCCCCCCCCCCGCCTTTGCTGGGCAGCGCGGGCGCCCCCCTCGCCCTTTCGCCAACGTCGCGCCGGCGACCGCTCCCACGCGCCGCCCGGCCTTTCCCCGGCGGGGCGGTGGATGGATCCCGCAGAGGGCAATCCCCACCAAGCCGCATCGCGCTGGGTTCGGGCGGCCACCCCGCCCAGGTCGCCGCCGTAGGGTCCGCAGCCTCGTCGCGGGCGGCTCTTCTCTCGGGATCCCGGCCCCTGGCCCGGCCTGTCTGCTTGCGGCCGCTGCTTTCTGTCCTCCTTGTCCTCCTCCCCCTCCTCCCCCTCCCTTCGCTTCTGCTCGTTGCTTCCCTCCCTTTCCTTTCCTCCTGCTCCCTGCCTGCTGTCTCCGCCTGGCCCGTCTTCTGCCTGCCCGCCCGCCCCGCCGGCCCTGGTCTCGCCTGGGCGTTCGTCGTCGTCTGCCTGCTTCTCCCCTCCTCGTCCCCCTCCGCCGGACAGCACAGCCTGCCCGGAACCAGCGTGGCGGCAGGCGATTCCAAGCCCTACTTACGAATTTCCCCCAAAGTAGGGCGGATCCGGAGTCATGGTGGACTTCCCTGGGTCCTCGGGGATGCCTTCCTGCAGGGAGCAGGTCGGAGCTCTCCCTGCGCCCCCCCGAGGCCTCTGGACGCCTCCCGGAGGCCTCCGGAGACGTGCGGGGCCTCGCTCGCCCGGCTGTCAAGGCTCAGAGAGAGCTCCGACCTGCTCATTCCGCAGGTCGGAGCTCTTTCCGAGCCTCCGGAGGCCTCTGGACGCCTCCCGGAGGCCTCCGGGGACCGGCGGGGGCCTCCCTCGCCCGGCCTGGCCAGCATGGTGGGCGGCGCCTCGCTGGCTGCCGCCGCCAGGCCCCTTGGCCGCCGGCCGCTGCGGCGCGGGCCCAGGCGCCTGCTCGGGCGCCCGCAGGTCCCCACGTGCGGCACGTCCCGCGTGCGGGGAGCCTCTCACGTCGCGTGGAGTCAACCTCGGAGGAGGAGAAGGTACCCATACCTCCACCCTTCGCCCGATTTCCCCTTCGTGGGCCTCCTTAGGAGGCCCTGGTCGCCGCAGCTGGATTCGTCTCGAAATTCTGGTCAGAATGCACCCCAGGAGAGGTGCGGGGAGTAGCGGCATCGGTACCTTTTGGTTTCCCCACAACCCGCATAGTAAGGAGGAGCGGCTTTCCAAAATGACCCTCGCACCCTTCACCTTCGACCCATCCTTGGCCGCTTTCGCTGGCCGCGCCCCGCTCGCAACGTGTCGACATGGCCCTCTGAGGCCCACACATCCTCATCGTGCATCCTTCTTGCACGGGCTGGCTGTGGCAGTCCCGGTGCTCCGCATGTGGGAACTGCCCACCTGCGGAGCACTGAGTTTGCGAAGCAGCTGCGGGCCGACGACGGCTCGCGCGCAGCGCGCAGCGAGCCGCGACCCGCCCGCGTCCGCCCATGGTGGCGCGGTCCGGCCAGAACGCGACAGGAACGGGATGCAGGGAACCCCCCTCCCCCCCCTCCTCCCTGCGTGCCGCGCAGAGCCTCGCCGGACCGTGCCACATCCAGCAGCAGTGATGCCGTTTTCGTCTTCGCCGTCGCCGGCGATCGAGGGCCGAGGGTCGAGGTCCTCGGGCGCGTGGCCGAATCTGTCCTCCCAGACCCCCGACGTCATGATTTTTTCATGACGCGACCCCCAAAGGTCCAGACCCATTCCCCGGGACCGGTTTTTCGTCCCGAGTCGTTTTTTGACGGTCCCGAGGCCCGGTGAGGGCCCTCAGAGGCCGAAAATTTGGAAAAACCTCCCGTCATGATTTTTTCATTACTCGAGGGAGTCTGGGTCGGGCGCGTGGCCGAACCTGTCCTCCTGCGCGCCCCCGGGGGCGGAGCTGCCCGGCCGCCCGCGGCCGCGCCGGCCCCGGAGCTGTGCGCGGAGCTCGCTCGCTCGGCGGCGGCCTCGCTCCGGCCGCTGCCCGCACCCCGTGGCCCGGGGCCTCTTTCGGGTATGGCCAGGGCCCCAGGTAAGGGGACCCGGTTGGTGGTAGGCCCTGACTCCAGCCCTGACCAGGTAAGGCCCTACTTTGGCATTTTTTCCAACGTAAAATTGCATCGGAAATCCACCCATAAGAAGCCGAAAAAGTAGGGCGGAAATCTCTGCACCCAACACAAAATAGGGCGGAAATCCACGGAAGTAGGGCGGAAACAGCAACAGAAAAGTAAGGCGGAAACTGGCATCAGCGGGACTTGAAAAGTAAGGCGGAAATTCCAAGCCCCAGGGTATAGCCAGGGCCCCAGGTAAGGGGACCCGGTTGGTGGGCCCTGGAGCGCCCAGATTGGCCAGAACCACTGAACCCAGACCTCCTCGAGTCATGAAAAAATCACGACGGGAGGTTTTTCCTTATTTTCGGCCTCCGGGGGCCCTCACCGGGCCTCGGGAGCGTCAAAAAACGACTCAGGACGAAAAACCGGTCATAGGGAAAGGGTCTGGACCTCTGGGGGGCGCGTCATGAAAAAATCATGACGTCGGGGGTCTGGGGGTAAGGGGATCCGGTTGGTGGTAGGG